AAAAAAAAAAAAAAACATATAATTCGTTCCACAGCATAAAATAACCGTACTGTACCATAAAAAAATGTAAATGGAGCAGTCACCAATTATGCCTGGTAGTCAGATGTTGTGAGGAGTAGGTGGAAGAACACTTTCTTTACACATTCATACAGATACAGACTTTTTACACATTTCAGCAGGTCTCTTTTTATTTTTTTTAATCAGATCAGATTCAGGAGAGGCTACTGGAGCTTGCAGGGTCAACTCCTCTTGTTCCATCCTTTGTTTTTTGGCAGCTTGCTTCTTGAAAAACATGTCCAAGGTGGTCTGTTTCTCTCTCTGCTCTGTCATTTTCAACAGGAGTTGTCCTGTAGGAAATGACAGGCAAGGGAGTCATTGTAGAGATCATTGATCTATTGGCCTCATCTCTGTTTGGATAATGAGTGTTGGTAAACTCCTTAACCTCTCCCCATTTGACAAGGAAGTTTTTTGTCAACTTTTACTCCTGATGATGTCTTGCTTTGTTTCAATTGAAATCACCTTTCTGTTTTTTTTAGAAGCCATGATTTGCACAACACTTGAATAAATCTAAATACCCTGCACTGAGGTGATGTATGTAATAAACAAGGGAGCAAGCCGAATACCAACAGAAGCTCTTTATTTCAGATATACTAATAATATATTTTAATTATACTAATATATTATAAAAATAGCAGATTGTCATTGGCAATGGCAAAAGAGTGGAAACATCATTCACACTTGTTCGCAGAAAGACCATTGTTCACCTCATGTAACTGCCAAACAGAAAGTCCGTTGTTCGCAACCAGTCTGTTGCTCGAGTCACGTAACGGCCAAACAGAAAGTCCATTGTTCGCAGCCTCCGTTATTCAAGGCGTACATTATACGAGGCACCACTGTACTTATAATTACAAATATTATATTTACAAATGTATGTATACAGTTAAATTTGAAATTTAATCTGTTGTGACTGTTGTGTAGGGGATTAATTTGAGTGGAGGACAAAAACAACGAGTGAGTATAGCAAGGGCAGTCTACAGCAACAGTGATATATATTTATTAGATGACCCTTTAAGTGCTGTGGATTCTCATGTTAGCAAACAAATCTTTGAAGAAGCTATAGGGCCAAAAGGAATTCTTAAAGATAAAGTAAGTAAAAAAACATTTAGATCGTTTTATGCTAATTTAAAAATATTAAGACGAAATTTTCTTCTAGACCAGAGTTCTAGTTACTCACAGTATAACTTATTTAACACAAATGGATATGATTATTGTAATGAAAGATGGAGAAATTCTTGAATCAGGTTCATATTCTGAACTGCTGAATAAGAAAGGTGCTTTTGCTGAGTTTTTACTCCAGTATTTAAGAGAAGAAACTGAAGACATTGATAAATTGGATGCTTCTGAAGTAGAAATGATGGAAGAAATTATGATGAAAGTTGGCACTCCAAATTTAGAGAGGTAGGATGATATGAATAAATTTGATAATGATTGTGATTTGAAATTATATTTTATATAATCTGAAAACTTTTCAGTCAGTTGTCAAGAACTTCAGTAGATGGGGATATAGCTGAACGTCGTGCATTATTAAGATCTCTCTCCAGTCAGATGTCACAAGACAGTACAAGTAGCAATAGATCTAGTCCACTTAGAAGATTAACTGAAAGTAAATCAAAATTAGATGATATCAAAGATGAAAAATTAGCTAATGGGCAAGTTGATCCTTCAAAGCTTATTCAGACTGAAACAATGGAAACAGGAAAGGTTAATTTTTTAATAATAATAATAATTTTTTGAAAGTAAATTCTTCAAAATATGAATGAGAATAAATTAATTTAATATAGGTAAAATGGGAAATATACCTTTATTACTTCAAAAATGTTAATGAATATTTTTATTTCATACAATAAAATTTTACAATAATATATGTGCATATACTGTAATATTTGTTTTTCAGTAATGTACTGTGTGATTTGCAAAAGCAGATAAGCTGAAAGTATGAAAAACCTGTTTTTAGGTGTGCTGTTTTCACATTAGCTTATGGAAAGAAAAAATATGTCAGACACATTACTGAACACACAATGTGTTTGCTAACTGTAACAAAGCAATGTTCATTCAGCACAAACAATATAGACTACAGGGTCTTTAGAGCACCATGTGTTTGAACTCTGATTTGTGAAGTTCTAGCATTCTAGTTTATTATTTTAGATCATCAGCTGCTTTTCAGAGGGTATAAGATTAACAGACATTTCAGATTATTGAGTAATGGATTAATGAACTTTTACTATATATCTAAATATTTTTCTGCTAGAATATTTGAGGAAAAACAGTATAGTAAAATTCTCAAAATCAAATTAAAGTACAGTGGTGCCTCATATAATGTACTTAATCCATTCCAGGTGCACGTCCATTAAGTGAAAAGTCCATTATACGAAATGCATTTTCCCCATAGAAATACTTGTTATAACATATAATTCAATAAAAATATTCTAAAAAGAATCGATGGAGTCAGATAATCTATTTTTTAACCGTATTGTAGTACACGGAAAACTGCTAGTTTTCCATTCGTTTCTGACTTTTCCTTGTTAACCTGTTTACCTTTTTTAATTTTTTATACCAGTCTATGGACTCGGGACTATTAAGCCTCCAAAAGTCAGAAACGAATGGAAAACTAGCAGTTTTCCGTGTACTACAATACAGTTAAAAAAAAAAAAAAAACATATAATTCGTTCCACAGCATAAAATAACCGTACTGTACCATAAAAAAATGTAAATGGAGCAGTCACCAATTATGCCTGGTAGTCAGATGTTGTGAGGAGTAGGTGGAAGAACACTTTCTTTACACATTCATACAGATACAGACTTTTTACACATTTCAGCAGGTCTCTTTTTATTTTTTTTAATCAGATCAGATTCAGGAGAGGCTACTGGAGCTTGCAGGGTCAACTCCTCTTGTTCCATCCTTTGTTTTTTGGCAGCTTGCTTCTTGAAAAACATGTCCAAGGTGGTCTGTTTCTCTCTCTGCTCTGTCATTTTCAACAGGAGTTGTCCTGTAGGAAATGACAGGCAAGGGAGTCATTGTAGAGATCATTGATCTATTGGCCTCATCTCTGTTTGGATAATGAGTGTTGGTAAACTCCTTAACCTCTCCCCATTTGACAAGGAAGTTTTTTGTCAACTTTTACTCCTGATGATGTCTTGCTTTGTTTCAATTGAAATCACCTTTCTGTTTTTTTTAGAAGCCATGATTTGCACAACACTTGAATAAATCTAAATACCCTGCACTGAGGTGATGTATGTAATAAACAAGGGAGCAAGCCGAATACCAACAGAAGCTCTTTATTTCAGATATACTAATAATATATTCTAATTATACTAATATATTATAAAAATAGCAGATTGTCATTGGCAATGGCAAAAGAGTGGAAACATCATTCACACTTGTTCGCAGAAAGACCATTGTTCACNTTGTCAACTTTCACTCCTGATGATGTCTTGCTTTGTTTCAATTGAAATCACCTTTCTGTTTTTTTTAGAAGCCATGATTTGCACAACACTTGAATAAATCTAAATACCCTGCACTGAGGTGATGTATGTAATAAACAAGGGAGCAAGCCGAATACCAACAGAAGCTCTTTATTTCAGATATACTAATAATATATTTTAATTATACTAATATATTATAAAAATAGCAGATTGTCATTGGCAATGGCAAAAGAGTGGAAACATCATTCACACTTGTTCGCAGAAAGACCATTGTTCACCTCATGTAACTGCCAAACAGAAAGTCCGTTGTTCGCAACCAGTCTGTTGCTCGAGTCACGTAACGGCCAAACAGAAAGTCCATTGTTCGCAGCCTCCGTTATTCAAGGCGTACATTATACGAGGCACCACTGTACTTATAATTACAAATATTATATTTACAAATGTATGTATACAGTTAAATTTGAAATTTAATCTGTTGTGACTGTTGTGTAGGGGATTAATTTGAGTGGAGGACAAAAACAACGAGTGAGTATAGCAAGGGCAGTCTACAGCAACAGTGATATATATTTATTAGATGACCCTTTAAGTGCTGTGGATTCTCATGTTAGCAAACAAATCTTTGAAGAAGCTATAGGGCCAAAAGGAATTCTTAAAGATAAAGTAAGTAAAAAAACATTTAGATCGTTCTATGCTAATTTAAAAATATTAAGACGAAATTTTCTTCTAGACCAGAGTTCTAGTTACTCACAGTATAACTTATTTAACACAAATGGATATGATTATTGTAATGAAAGATGGAGAAATTCTTGAATCAGGTTCATATTCTGAACTGCTGAATAAGAAAGGTGCTTTTGCTGAGTTTTTACTCCAGTATTTAAGAGAAGAAACTGAAGACATTGATAAATTGGATGCTTCTGAAGTAGAAATGATGGAAGAAATTATGATGAAAGTTGGCACTCCAAATTTAGAGAGGTAGGATGATATGAATAAATTTGATAATGATTGTGATTTGAAATTATATTTTATATAATCTGAAAACTTTTCAGTCAGTTGTCAAGAACTTCAGTAGATGGGGATATAGCTGAACGTCGTGCATTATTAAGATCTCTCTCCAGTCAGATGTCACAAGACAGTACAAGTAGCAATAGATCTAGTCCACTTAGAAGATTAACTGAAAGTAAATCAAAATTAGATGATATCAAAGATGAAAAATTAGCTAATGGGCAAGTTGATCCTTCAAAGCTTATTCAGACTGAAACAATGGAAACAGGAAAGGTTAATTTTTTAATAATAATAATAATTTTTTGAAAGTAAATTCTTCAAAATANTTAAAAATTAAACTTTAACATGAAAACTAATAAAAAATTAAGTGAATATCTTATATACAAAACATGAATGAAAATAAGTATAAAACAGTTATAAAGATGTTTAGAAAACAATAAATTTAATATCATAAAATCTAATCTATATTAAAGTTAAATATACAAACAAATAAAACATTTGGTAAACAAACTCCTATAACAAACATCCTTATTCTTAAAATTTAAAGAACTTCATTATGTGAATAGGAAGTAACCAAAATAAAACTAATTTGTAAAACACAAAACTAGTCAAACAATTTTGCCAATCTTGTGTTTAAAGAGTTGACAGATGATAATACATAGATTAAATTAGTTCTTACAGGTATTATCAATTTCAGAAGGAAAAAATGAAGACCTATGAAAAATTCCAAAAAATTCTGCATTCATTCATTGCCACCATAGATATCAATACAATGGTTGAACTAATTGGTGGTTATATATTTTGTTTGTTTGTTTGTTTTTGTCATTAAACAAAAATTCTAGATATCTAAAATACACTTTTGATAACTTGACATAGACAAAAAAACGTTTTTTAGTTAGAGAAACTACTACTATTTTAGTAAGATCATAAATATTACAATACAAACAATATAATTAATAAAAGAATAAAAATCAGAAGAAAATCCTCAGTGTTGCATTTTATAATAATTCTTCACATAAACAATTAATGTTAGTTTTAAAAGTGACCTGCAACTGTCAGTAAAAGTATTAACTATCAAAACATTAAAACAAAATTTTTTAAAAAATAAACAATTTGATGTGATTTAATTTTGGGTTCTGATTTTGAGTGATTTTTAAAAATATTCTTACAATTTAATAGAACAATAAGTAAGACTTATTACATGCATAAAATTAAAATTAATTCATTATGTATGATTATGCAAGGTTCAGCACTAAGCGCCCCAGAAAAATTTCAGTATTTTTGGAAGATGGTTTTGATGATATCAGATAAGAAAAGCAGTTAAGCACATAAGAAAGACATAAAAATTTCATAAAAGATGGATTTGTACATCTAGTGGTGTGCTCTAATACTAAAAATGTTTCAATAGGAAAACGGATTCTATTATATGTGGTGNTAAGTGATTAACAGAAACTTCATAAATGAAGTTTCTGTTAATCACTTAAAATATCTGCTCATCATATTTACGGAGCATTCCAAACTTTTTCAGTAAAGATTCATTCTCTTCTATAAATTTTTTCTACCAAATATAAAATAATAGTCAACAGAAACTTCATAAATGAATAACAGAAACTTCATAAGTGAATAACAGAAACTTCATAAATGAAGTTTCTTTGTATTACTAATTTAAATCTAGATAATATTTATTTTCATTTGCATATATAAACTGAATTCCTATATCCTAGTATTGTTATTAATAGCCATCATATTTTCTGGAATAAAGACACAGGGTGATATTTTTGTCACCATGTCATAAAGTTTGAGGAAGACTGTTTGAGGAATTAAGTTATGAAGATCATAACTTAATTCCTCAAACAGTCTTCAGTATACAACAGGTAATCTCTACATTGTCAAACTCTAATTAAACAATAACATATTTACTCAACATATTTTTACTATAGCTATGTAGCTTTTGCATGTATTTGTGCTGGATATTTTAATTGTAAATGTCTTCTTTTAAACTCCTCTTACTTCCTAATAATTAAAGGCATGCATTCTAATTATATTTTTTAAAATAAGAATATAGTAAAAATCTTTTGAGGCAGAGTGCAAAAAGCACAGGATGGCTTAAATATACAAACTCCCATTCCAGCATAGAATATTTAATCTTATATGCTGAAAATATAGAAACTGCAAAGAACAGTTAATGATTTAATTATATTTTTCAAATATCTTATTATNTTGATCCTTCAAAGCTTATTCAGACTGAAACAATGGAAACAGGAAAGGTTAATTTTTTAATAATAATAATAATTTTTTGAAAGTAAATTCTTCAAAATATGAATGAGAATAAATTAATTTAATATAGGTAAAATGGGAAATATACCTTTATTACTTCAAATCAGTTGGATATGTATGGATGTGTTCAGTCATTCTTGGATACGTAGGTTTACAAGGTTTCACAGTTGGCTCAAATATATGGCTTAGTGTTTGGAGCAATGACAAACCAACTGTCAATGGAACTCAGGATATCAAACTCAGAGATTTACGGTTGGGAGTTTATGGTGCATTTGGAATTGGAGAAGGTTTGTCTAATTTATTTATTAAAAAATAAATAATTTATTATTTTTATTACATTTTTATTATTATTTAAAATTTAGCTTTCAGTATAATTTTGGGATCAGTAGCATTAGCATTAGGCTCAATGAAAGCTTCTACATTGTTACATTATAATCTTCTGTCTAATATTCTACACTGCCCTATGTCATTTTTTGAGACTGTGCCACTTGGTAGAATAGTGAACAGATTTGCTAAAGACATTGATACCATGGACTTGAATATACCAATGAATTTTCGATCTTGGTTATTATGCTTTCTTCAAGTGATAGCAACAATCTTAGTAATATCATTTGAAACCCCCATTTTTCTAGGAGTCATTGTTCCCATTGGTCTTTTGTATTATTTTATACAGGTTTGTAAACTTAATTTTTTTTGTCATAATAATTTTCACTTATTCATATTTAGACTTTCTCATATTTAGACTTCCTCATTTCATTGACAGAAATTTTACATATCAACTTCGCGACAATTGAAAAGACTGGAATCGGTCACACGGTCACCAATTTATTCTCATTTCTCTGAAACTCTGTCTGGTGTTAACACAATACGTGCTTACAATGCACAAAATAAATTTCTTCAGATTTCTAATGAATTTGTTGATACAAATCACTGCTGTTTTTATCCTAGTAATGTTTCAAATAGGTAAATATATATACATATTATCTAAGTGCTTTTTTTTTTAATCTAAAACTATATTTATTTGTTATAGATGGCTTGCAATTCGTCTGGAGTTTTGTGGCAATTGCATTGTGTTTTTTGCTGCACTATTTGCAGTTATGGGAAGAGATGACCTAAATCCAGGAAGCGTTGGGCTTTCTGTCAGCTATGCATTATCGGTAGGTATTGAAAGTGTGATTTAATGTTTTAAAAAAGCTGATTTTGTTCCAATTCTCCCTTGTACTTTAATGATCAACTTTTTGGTGCCAAGAAATTTTACTATGTAGGGAGATAAATATATCTGTATGTGCAATAAGTAACAAAGATGACAACTTATCAGTTGTTTTTTCTCTTACTTTGGAAAAATTAATAATAAATAGAGAGGTTGAGACAGACGTTTTAAACGTGTAAACGTGTAAGTCGGACATTAGGCGCCGCTTTCCCGTAAGCCTAAAAGTTTGACAATGGTGTTTGGATAGTCGGTGGAATCACGCTCGACATTCCAAACACCATCGTCAAACTTCTATGCTTACGGGAAAGCGGCACCGAACGTCCGTCCTACATGTTTACACGTTTAAAACGTCTGCCTTAACCTCTCTAATGATAGAGATACATGGAATTTGTCAAAAAAAAGCAATGTATGTAAGACTGAAGACACAGGTGTCCACTTGGAGGCAAACAGGTCATTTGTCCACACTGTGTTTGAAGAGTTAGGTATATTGATATTGAATTTATTGCTAATAAACTCCATGTCATATACCTATAAATATATATTATAATGTTAAGAAATAAAATAATATATATTTATTTTTTAAATTTTAAAATAATGAATAATGAACTATAATTTTAAGCAGTAATTGTGATAGTGGGAGTGTATTCCTTTGCTCTCTTGGAAAAGTTGCAGCAGATGTCCTTAACTGCAGAACATTTCATATAGGAGCCAACAACTCAAGCTTTATAGTTCAGTAATATTGGAACATAAAGCTGAAGTATATAGTAAAAAGACAAATAACAAAAGTAGCTAATGTAATGATAAATGAATAATATTATCAGACTTAAAAAAAGAGTAAAAATTTTTTTCACTTTTTTATCACAACTGTTGTTCAAGAAATTGTTGAAACAATGATGACTAATTCAATCAACTTGTCTTCCATATAGATTTTTAATATTTGAATACGCATATGTGACTGTAGGGTCAGTGTCTCCTTGACACCGCGTCAGGATGTGACATCACTGAATCTCACAGGATTCGGAAATCGCGACTTTACATCACGCGAGCGGTAGCAGGTGAGTGGTTGGATTCGGAGTAGAGGTGAGGAGAGAGACAAGGAAGTGATTCACTCAGATTCCATATTAACTAATAATAACAATTTTAATTATAACAAAAGAAAATACAGATATACTCGATATCAAGCATGACTAACGTTCCCCTTAATTATTACTAGCCCATTCAATAGAGAGAGTTTACAAACAAATCGTGTGTTGGTAAATACCTTGTAACTGAGTCGAAGATCTGTTATAAGATGACTGAATAAACTGTTGATGGAATGTTTGAGGTTTTATGAAATTGTTCTGGGTCTTGTTAGGTAACAAGAACACTGTGGTGTGGAGGCACTGAGGTGTGGATATGTGTCAGATATCCTTAAAGAGGCACGGTCTTTTTCACGGTATTAATTCTTGAAGAGGCAACTTGGGAGGATGACTTCTGAGGACCACTCTTGAATTCTTGGGTTCCTTCTTGGTTTTTTCCATGAGGTCAGGAGGTTGCTGTTAAGGACCTAGCGTCCAATACTGGAATTTTATCGAATGTTCCAGGTGACGCATTAATGACTAGATGGATCCTCCTCAACAAGGAATCAAATCCGTGGGAAATAATTTTTATGGATTTTAGCCTAACTTGATAAAACGATCAAAGTTAGATGATGGAATTCCAAAATAATTAAAATTTAAAATAACACTTTATTGAGGGTCTGTTAGTCCCTCATGCATATATGAGGTATATACTTGAAAGGAAAAGTTATGTTAAATACCTGCTTTATATCTATAAGCCTTAAGCATGTTAAGAGCAGTTAGTTTGACACCTATCAATAAGAGTTTGTAGTTATGAAATCATTATAGTCATAAAAACAAAAATTGATAATTACCATAATGTAGATAATCCATGATGGCATACGACACAGGATAGTTGTACTCTTCAAACAATTGTTAGAACAGAATTAAACCTTTCACGTAACTCATCCTACTTTTTACACTGTTGCCTCTGCATCCACCACTGAAAGTATGACACTAGTATGCAGTTTAAAAAATACCATCTAAAACATTGAAACATCATTTTTCTGTTTCATTTTATTATATTACTAATTAAACTAAAAATCAGTACTGAGATAGAACTATATGTCAAAGATAGAAATGACAATTTTTTATCACATCATTTTTATTTTATCAGCTGTGATTGATTTTTTTTATTTACTGTTGCCAATTGCTTTATTTAAAAATTAACATTATTAAATACATTGTTAGTATATTCTGTCAGAATTTATAGTTTTTCTACTAAAGATACACAGTTGTTTTCTTAATATTGGTATTTATTAATAAAATTAATAGCACCTAAAATGAAAACGCCATCAAAGAAAGAAATAAAAGAAAATCCAGTTGGAAGAAATTGAAACTATGAATGATCCCAATCTGATCCTGAATTTGTTACTAAATTTTTTTTGCTTCATAAATATCAAACCATACTTTGGACATAAATTATTTATTAATAAAAACAGATTGTTACACAAGGATTTTTAAATTATTTGATTTATTATGTAAGAATTTTATGAACGAAATGTTAAAATATATTCTAGATAACTGCCACATTAAATTGGTTAGTGAGGATGAGTTCTGAGTTGGAAACCAACATAGTTTCTGTGGAGAGAATGGCAGAATATACACTAGCAGAGAAAGAGGTAATATATATTTGAAAAATGATTATTAAATATTAGAGAATTATTTATTTTTTTATGCTGTTTTTTTAGGCAGAATGGGAAATAGAAAATAGTCGACCTCCTCTGTCCTGGCCAACCAATGGCGAAGTGGTATTTGATCGATATTCCACACGATATCGACAAGGATTAAATTTGGTTTTAAAGGGTATTAGTTGTGAAATAAAGTCTGGAGAAAAGGTGAAATACTTTCATTAAAGCAATTTTATATAATTTTATAATTTTTTTANGCGAAGCGACACGCAACGGAGAAAAATTTCGACATCGGATACGTTAAACTATTTTTTCATACATAAATCAGTTATCCGAAATATCAGTTATCCGGACAACCCCAGTCCCCAATTGATTCGGAAAATCGACGCTCTACTGTATAAAGAAAATACTTGTATATAACATGTAATTTCAATAATACAAGTTTGCTCTAACACAAAAAATTGCAGCAAATCTCTCATAGCATATTACTTCTAAGTTTATGTGGGAAAAACCTTGCTATTATGTTTGGATATGTCAAAAAAATTACACCTTTCTTTTTGTTTACTGAATTATCATTGTTAACTTGCTAACCATTAAAAAATAAATATATTAGGGAAATTTTGGGAAATCCAACACTATATTATTGGAAGATCCCTGTGTTATATTCTTTGCTATTGAACTTGTGCTTCCTTGAGACCATATTAATAAAAACACCACTATCCCATTTGAGTAAGATCACTTCATTCCATTATCCATCTGAAATTTAGTCTGGTATTCTATGGTTTGGCAACTCCCATAGTTTAGTATATTTTGAGTCTTCTACTATTGGTATGGAGAATTGAGCCATCAGAGCAATGTTGTTAGCAATAGTTATATGCTAGATAAGTTCATATCTACAGTAAAGTGTTTAAGTTATTTTTGAAAATATTATTTTTTCAAGATTTTAAAGCTGTAATTTTTTTTTTTGCTTCTGCATAAAAAAATATTCATAACATTTTTAAAATATTAACATCTTCACAGTTAAATTTTAGATGAATTTAAGGAAAAATGTCTTCAACTTTTTAAATTACAAATCTTGCTTCTCCAGCAAGTATTTTTGATTTGATTTTATAACTGCAGCAGTACCTCATACATCAAGCACTTCAGAGTTCAAATACCAAATTTGAGAAAAATTTTTTCAGTGTTTGGACGATGCTTCAAAGTTTGAACCACATGTGTGCAAAATGAAAAATGCACTCAAAACATAAAATAAGCTTCTGAACAAAGAATATAATATCAAATTAGCAATAATGTGCTAAAGTTCACATCTAAGTTAAATCACACATCTAAGTTAAGTAATGACAACTGTTAAAAATACACAAAAACTTACTGTTCAACACAGTATAACCTTTACCTATCAATCATGGAATCCCAGAAGCATGTAGAAGAAATAAAGTCTAACTAGTATGAGGAAGGCCTGAAAAAGGCTAAGATGAAAAGGAACTTATCATGAAGCATGAAAGTGGTACACTTGTAGCAGATCTGGCAGACATGTTTAAGATGCTAAAGTTGATAGTGTGTGACCAGTAAGTGCATATTTTTATTTTATTATATATTATCTATGAATTTTATTTGTTGTTTTTGTGTTTTAATTTATTATTAGGGCATTTAATGTGTTATTTTTACTCTAAGTTATGTGTATTTGCCATTTTAAGTATATTGAAAGGGGTATTATGTGGGGTCTGGGAATGGATTAGTTCTCTTTCTATTATTTCTAATGGAAAAAATTGCTTCCTAGAATGAATTAACCTTTTGGGTACTTCTGAATCCACAACTGACTGGGTGCCACAAAATTTATCCTCAATTTTGCTCATTTTTCAAAAAAGCAGCTGCAAATTTCACATTGATTTATGTCTGTTGTTACTCATAAATAAATAATCTGAATCTTTGAATATATCTTTTGTTCTTGATCTACACACTTGTCATTTACAACTTATATGACCCTTTGTCAGAAAAATGTTGAAGACCCCTGATCTAGATTGAAATGAGGTTTTATTTACAGAGCACTTTGGCCTAGTTAATCAGTCCAATGTCAATCATACAATAAAATTCATCAATGTGGAAGGAGAAATTGCAAACAAAGCATGACTAGAACTATCTATTAAAAACCAAAAGAGTCCTATATCACTCAAAAGTAGAAAAAGAGAATAAAAAGTCTTAAGAGAATTCCTTAATGGGAAATCAACTGTTATATTTAGAAATTTAATAAATATATTCTTACTTTTTCTTTTTTTAGCAATTCAGTATTCTTTGTTTTTAATCTCTTTTCTTCATCTTCTAATTCTGCAATAGATTTCTTAATTGCACATAAATCTATTCCAGTTCCTTCACCTTCTTTAAGTTTATTTTTTAATTCTGTTATTTTTCTTTGACTCCTATAAAAAACAATTTTCATTCAAATTTTATAAGATTTAATTTTTAGACACTTAATTAAATACAAAATTACATACTCTGTGATACTATTTTCTAGTGTAGTCTTCTCTTTTTCAAATTCAGTCATTCGCTCCAATCGAGCTTGATGTCGCCATCTGAACAAACTTGCAGTATCTATGTTTGGATGAGTATCATCCTCATCGTCTGAAATCTAAAACATTTAAAAAAAATTATTATAATTATGAAAATAATTTTTAGACCTATCTTTATATAAAAATTTTAAAAAAATCCAAATTTTATAAATATTTTAATATAAAACAATTTGAAAAAGTGATTTATAATTAAATAACTGATTCATAAAAAAATTAATAGTTAAGTAATAATGACAATAAATATATTCTTAGAGACACTGAAAATATTTAACAGAAATTGTTCTAAATATAAAGTTCTAATTGACAAAAAGGAAATAAATAAATAATGTTACTTATTAAGCTACACAAAGTAATCCAGTTTATAACAATTATATTCACTTAATTTTGTTTTACAAACATCAGAAAATTTGCCAATGTCAGAAACATACTGATTTATTGTAGTAACTAATTTTTTTTGATGCACTTTCTATTACCATTATCTACAGTACTATCTTCATGTTTCTTTTCCATAAATTAAACCACCAAATGAAAGGCATTCAAGAGGAATGCCCCATACTTATTTTCCAGACAATGTATAGGCCGACCTATATTCAGAGTATAAGAAACCTATTTTTAGGTGCATTATCCACATATTTGCCCATAGGAAAGAAAATGCATCAGTCATGCACATTACTGAATACAGAAAATGTGTGAAATACACTAAAATACAAAATAGACTATGTATTATATAGCTTATTGAATTACACTGTCAGAAAGTGCCAATTACCAGACATTCTGGATTATCAGGTGCCAGATTAACCTATTGTACTTTATTATATTCATAATTAATTCTCTGACAGTATAAAACAAACAGCAATCCCAGATTTTGTTTATTCTTATTTTCATTGTAAATCCTCTCCTCTCAATAAGTATTTCAAATTTCTACTTATTGCATTTAGATATACTAGATTTGTTCAATATGATCATCCATAGATGAATCCTTAAGCCTCATAATATTCATAATTCATGACATATAACAGACATGAGCAAATGAGGCTCTTTTTGAGTTACATGCAGCTCTTGCTGAAAGTGTTAATTTTTGCTTTTTATTATNAGTGGACTTCTAATAATTTTATTATGAAGTTTATATAATAAATAATAATCTATAATAAAAATAAGATTTTAAATATGGTAAACATTTCACTTTATGATGGACTTACATTTTGGTAAAAATAAATACAATGGAAACTTGATTATCTGAACTTGGACCACAGTGTTTTGGATAATCCAGAAGTTCATTTGTTTTTGTATTTTGGATACATCAAGCACTGTGCATTTAAAGTTTCATGAACTATAAAATATCGTAATGCAATAACTGTATTCAAAAGTAAATGCATTTACTCAAAATCTAATGTAATGTTATATATATGACTGAGTTTCACAATGCTACAATTTACAGATGACTTAGTAATTTCCATTTACATGGAGAGTTTAGGCTCTGTGTTTTCTGTGGTATTTACAATGCTGTGTGTTCTAGAGTTTTTTGTTTCTGAACTCATTTCAGATAATTGGATTTCTAATATAAATGCAAAAATCTCTCCACAGCCTACTTTTAAATTTTTTATCATATTTTAATATTTATTTATTTCTCTTTTAAATTGGAAATATTAATTTTCTTCTTATCACTTTTAGAAAAGAAAACAGTTTGATACTGTGATGATTTTGAGACCTTAGAATAAATTATAAAAAATAAAATTTTTGATTGCAATTAATATAAAAATTATTAAATTGAGATTAAATATGATAGTGTTTCTGGAACCAACTAATACTGTAAAATGGAGGCCCCTTATATGTAAAATATTTTCAGATTGAAACTTATGTATTAAAAATTCAACTTCATATAATTATAAGGAATAAAATACTCATTTATTTCAATATAATTCATTAAAATATATAAAACCCACCGTTTTTGAAAATCCATCACGACTAATAGTATCAACATTCCAAGGCATCAGCTAAAAGAAAAGTAGACCAATTAAAATTTTAAAAAATTAACAATATCTATAAAACTTAATAAGTTGCAAATAAGAAAATAATTTTATATAACAAAATAAAAACAATTGTAAAAAGTTTTATTACAATCTCTTTTATTATTAAAATAGCACATTTAAATTCTTACTATAATTTATTCAACTTAGATATTACATCATCATCATAACCATATAAAGATAGATTTTCTCTACTTTATACAATTTAATCTTATTGAGCACAACAACTTAATATATAGGGTTTCTACTCATATTTTTATTTTGAATTGCATGACTTTCCTTGACCAACTTTGTCCAAATTCCCCGACCCTCACATTTCTTACAGTATGGAATGTCGACATAATAAAACAACATTTTACTTACTGTGAACATTGAGAATATCTATCCTTCTTTTTGGACAGTTGATATGTTCCAAAGACTGTGCCAAAAAGTATATTACATACATTCTGTAGAAAAATGTTTGGTATGATCCACAACTTCAATGTAATGATCAAATAAGCAATTTACAAAAGAAACTTGAGCTTTTTTACTTTATCATTTATCATTATTATTTGTATGTAAATCTAGTAAACACAAGGTAGCATAAAATCAACAAACAGTATTGTATTATACTTAAAAAAGATAAACTCTTGACTTAGAAACATGTAATTTTAAAACCAATCTTTCAACAAATAGGGTTAAATGCTTTTAAATAGCAACATAATTTTAACTAAAAAGTTAAATTTAAAAATTTTAGAAGCGGTTTTTCCCATGTAAAAAAATCAATTAGGCTACCTAGTTGATATTGAAAACTATAAAATACTAAAGGTATGATCAATGTTGACAGTTTTTAAGCTCTAAATTATTACCCAACTTTATTTCTATTAAACTAATTATTAAACTATATATCAAAGTGCAGGAAATTAACAGAAGAGAGAGAGAGAGAAATGTGCTTGCAGTACAGTACTTTCAAGGTAAATAACAAGGTACTTTCATAATAACAGATATAAAATGCTAGTGCTGACCACAAGTCAATGCAAGCATTTTATATCTTTTACTGTAAATGTTTAAAAAATTACTACACAACATAAAAAAAATTATAAATGTGAAAAATGATTAAATTATAAATTTTTACTGATCTATTTAGCTATTTTGAAGTGAACATTCTAATAACTTTTAAAAGTTGAAACAGTAATTTTTCATACAAATTTTTAATTAGTTGTTTTTTATTCTAATTTAACAATTTCATCTCTTTATAATTGCTGAATTATTAAAAATAAAAATTAAACACTATTACATAAAAGTAGTTTATCCTGTTATTAATCCACAACTGTAAAATTATATGGCTTCAGAACGATGAAAAAAACCATTTCAAAATGGATTCTGGTGTATTTTCTTATTAAAGATTGCAGCATTACTTCTTGCCGCCTGCGTATGGCTATGATTGGTCATCTATATTCAGCAAACCAAATCAACAACGCAGTTAAGGAGACAAATTCCCTGACTGTTTGACAATTTTCGACAAATTCCCTGACTTTTTGATAATTTTTGACAAATTCCCTGACTTTCCCTGACTTTTTCAAAAAATAATGAAAATCCCTGACTTTCCCTGATTTTCCCTGACTTTCCAGGTGCGTAGGAACCCTGTA